ACCATTATAAACTCTAGCAGCTTTGCAAGTCAGTCTGCTATGCAGACGTGACCATCCCATTCATCTTAAATATGAAGCTCAAGACTCACTTGTGTAGTCTAATTGACTGATCTTGGTGTCCCTGTAGAGCAGTCATAACATCAGCTTCATCTAACACACACAGCTTGATAGTCTTTGGATCCAGAACTATGTATTTTAGAATCCAGTCAAGGAGGGAGCCATGTGTTCCAAATATTATGTGATCTGTTACTTTCTTGCCCCTTGGAACTGCTAAAAAAAAAGAATGGTTCAGTTACAAATGTAACAGCAAAAAAGGCTGCTCTTTTCAGATTTACGTTTGGTAAGAATTTGCTTTGCTAATAATTGGACTTCTTTTGTTTCATTTAGCACTTGATAACTCAATATTTCTTGGCTGTTAACCCTTTGACCCCTGAGAATGATGAGTAGTTAATTTCTCCTTACAGTATCACCCCTGGATCACGCATTCTCCTTTTCAGCACTTAAGAAAATGTATACATAACAGTAGGCTGAGAGTTTTCATACTGATGTAGGGTGTAAAGGGTTAGCAGTTTTATTATGTTTTTTGCAAAATTCCTCACCCCTTTCTCCTCTTACTGCATAACCAATTTTGATCTCTGGCAAGAATTTTCCCATTCTTTTAGCAACTTTGCCCCTTTGTAATGCCAGGTTATATGTTGGTGATAAACACACTTCCTGAAAACAAACAATATGGAACCATGAAAAATGACACCTGCTACATCAACATCATTATTTTTTTCACCTTCAGTTTTATTAACCCACTGCACACCTATACCTATATCAAATACATATTTTGACAACAAAATTTCAATTAGCACGTGCAAAACAAAACTGTGAAAAAATGCAATTTTTATCATTTTATAATTATCTTCCTTCATCTGAAAAATCATGAACTTTTAACTATTCATTTGGAATATTACTGCTATGGTATTGTTAAATTCACCAAGATAGAAATAGTCCACAAAACAGGTGTAATTTTGGTGAGCAAGTGCTCAGTATTTTCTTGGTGAAAATTATCTGTATCTGTAATGCCTGAGCACTAAGCTAACAACAACCTAACCAACAAACAAACAAATTTCCAGTTGATTTAGGTCAAATTGTTCACATTGGAATTCTGACAGGAGTGAAAAAGATATTTGTTGAACAATACTAGTAAAGGATCAAACACATTTATTTTAGAAGATATGGTGTACAAATCTGTAACAGCCGTCAATTCGATGTCAATTCCACGTTTTATTCGATCCGATCAACTACGCTCAGCACACCGTTCGAATACAATACCGTACAAGAAATCCTTACAAACAAGCAAGTGTCTCTATCCGTAACCTTGAAAACTGCTGAAATATCCGTAATGCTTCCGTAATGTTCTATTCCTTCGATGTGAGACTAGTTAAACGATCCTTATCCGAGAAATAAAGGCGAAAATAACAAGCGATAAAAGCACATGTATGCCGAGGTTTGACCTAGTGTCGAATGACAACACCTCGGCGCAGACTGGGCCTAGTGCACAGGACACCTAGCATTTACAAATCATTTCAGCTGAAATTATCGGTAAGGATTCAAAGTATCCTGTTTTCTGTGTAGGAGAATTTGTGTGTGTGCATTTGTTGAAGCAACCAATATAAAGCAACTTTCTTACTGCACTTACTGTAGTTTCTTTGATTTCTTTTCAAAAACTCTTTTTCAAAATTTGAGTTGCTAAACTGGGGGTGTGGCATATTTGCGAGTGTGGCTTATCAGCCATTGTTAACTGTAATAAAGGTAATTTAACATCAGTCTGAAATGGAGAGACAAATTTCAATGAATGTTCATCTTAACTCTCAACACTTACCAGTCTCTGGAAAGCTCAGAAAAAAGGTTAGCTCAATTTATTTGATTCTGACAGGTCCATTCCATATTGACCAATCATGATAAAGTTCAGGGTTTGCAAACAAATCTCAAAATCTCAAACTTGTTACCATAGCTGACATTTTCCTTAGAACACAATAAATTCCATACACATTCTGTTTTTCACTTTTTTCTGTGTTTCAAATTGAAGAAACTAATAAAATAATGGCCTCACTGGACTAAGCTTTCTGTAAAATTGAAATCAAGACTTGAAATGAAGGCATACATACAGAAGCAAGCCATTAAATGACATGAAGGAGCCTAATGGAGGGCCTGGTTCAATCCATTGCACTTCATCATCATTCCTATTTTGGACCAGATTATTCCTCCAAACTGTGAATGACTGAAAATTCAATACTAACATTAACATACCACTGCATGGTCTCCAGCGACCTATTTCATAGCAATTGGTCAAAGATTAATTCGAAAAGATGCATCCAAAACTGGAGAGTATTATTTTCAGGTGAAATTCTCTAAGTTATCTAATTTTTCAATTTTTTTCCTACCATTATGTCATATGCATATCATACCATAGCTAGTAATTCTATGCAACTCATGTCAATTTTACAAAATTGCCTCGTTTTCACATTGTATGTGTTGATGATGTGTGTGCATCCAATGAAACACAAAAGAGGGGAATTTCTCCTAATACAATGTTTAAACTACCGAAAAAAATCGAAAATTAATCTCCTCTAAAATCAGCCTTGCTCCAAAAAGTGGGCTCCACAGGTCAGTCATTGTTTGTACATCAAGAAAATTGTGTTTTATCAACTGAGTTGATAACGTATTTGGCAACGGTAAAGAGTTCCAAAGCTGACATTCTAAACATAAGCCCCTTTAGTTTTTCTTCGTCGGAGTGAAAGATGAAGGGCTAACTCCTTGAAATGTCAGCTTTGAAACTTTTTACGGCGGATAATTTACATTATAAACTCAAATGATAAAACCAAAATTATCTTGTTATACTCCCCCAGTGATACACCACGACAGTTTCTTTGGAAAATTACCCCCTTTATGATAAACTTTGTATATCAGTTGCATGTAGAAATCGTTCACACTGTTTTATAACTAAGTTAATCAGTGACATCGAACACTGCGTTTTGTTCGACATATTCTTGTTTAACCGGTTTGATCACGTGCGTTTTTTTGTAATAATATCCTGATTTCGCTTTAAGAGTTTCAATGTTTTTCGATCGAGCGAATTGATGTATGAGTGATTCCTACAAAATAAACGAATTTAACGGAGTTTCAAATACGATTATATTCATTGCTATACATCCCAACTAATATTGATAAATAGTGAATAACACTGGGATCGTAGGATGATGTAACTCTAGGTTATAAAGTGAATCATACCATCACCATTTCCACACATTCTCAGGCCAAAAATTCAAGGTAATACTGAAATGTCATCTGATGTAGGGTTACCGTTGTGTCTTTCGTTGTAATTATGTCCTCACACCTAATAACCAATAGAATGCGGTTTTATTTCTTCCAATCAAAGTGCGTTGTGAACGTGTCTTCTGCGTGTCACTTCCCAACTAGGGGAGGGATGCAATGCAAAATTGTGAGACGATCGGTAAGTTTTCCGCGCTCGAAGTTTGAAAATTTCATGGGCTATCCTCGATGCCTTTTGGGACACTTCGGATTGGCGAAAGATTAAAATTCTGGTTGCGTTTTTAAGTGCGAAGTATTAGTGAAATTTTCTTCGATAGGTTGGAGAGCTTAGGAATGGTTTGGAGTGCACTGGTGATCGAAGTTGTGCTTTTCTGTCGGAACTAGTGTAGTAAGGTAAGGTAAGGTTGCATTTTATGCTAGTATTTTTGTTAAATTTAAGTATTACAACCATTCTTCAAAGATGGCGTTCAAGTTTTGGGCTAAATACTGTAGATTTCATGTGACTGCATGGTAAAAAAAAAAAGCGTGCGAGTAACTACTAACCTGGATCCATTGAATCCTTCAGGTTTTCTTTTGAAGGAAGGTTTTCCTCCAGGCTGATTTTTTTATTTTGTGTGGGACATGCAAAACTAGATGTTACATAATTAAAGAACAGGACAGATCTCGGTGTTCAATGACCAAAAATTTGCAATTTTCCTCCAGCCTTATAATTATTTCTATTCATTATTGCTCCTACATGTGTTAGCAAGAACTTGGTCTTGTTGGCGTTCATTGTGAGCATTTGGTGATCCATATCTTAGTGGAGAAACTCTCTGCAACTATCTTGGTGTAGAAAATACCAATCGTTTCACCCTTACTTAATTTCATTCATACAGGCAAGGATGAAAACCAGCAGCAAAGCAAAGCAAAAAAAAGTGCTGAGGAGGTGGCAAGCTCTATTGTAAACATTTTCATGGCAAATTATGCACTAGTTATAAAATGGTATACGTTGTGCTTAATTTTTGTCCTTGGTATAAACATCATTTTCCTTTGGTTTTGTTAATGATACAAATGAAAAATGCATTTTGTGTAAAGAAAGATAAAATTTAGCTCTTAGCCTAAGTTATGATGAGATGATGTGTCACGCTCAATTTGGCCTCTATTTAAAGTAAAAGAATTAAACTGAGGATAAAACTAAACCACAGCATACCTATACTAAACCCTCATTTTATTTGTATCAATATTACTATTTTTTCTGGTGTTCACCCAATAGATTCAATCCACTCACAGACAAAGATGGCACCCATGCATTTTACCATTACTCTTAGGCTAAGGCACATGTAGAAAGCAACATTTCGCAAAACAACAACATCATGTATGCAAGGTTTAAATTTTCAGACCTTTACTGCTTGTTTTTATGAGTGGTTCCAGGATTTCTTGTGAAAAGAGTTCTGGTTGAATGTACCAGTCGCCATGTTTTTTGGTATGGTGGTTTGCAGTAATTGTTGTATGAAGTAACCTTCACCAATATTAATTTTGTGAACTTGTCACTGACAGAGAGCTAGTTCATGATTAGACATTGATTGTTTCATTGATTGCCATGCTCTACATTTATCATTGTAATACTAATTAACTCCTCTGCCATCAGTAATCACATTAAAGATACTGTGTTAGAAATCACAGCACTGTACCCCAAAATCTAATGTCATCCTCAGCACAATTTCATTTTTTGAGCAAGGCAAAAGTAAAAATCAAACAAGACCACACAGACATCACCACAGAGACAACATTGTTATGTATAATGTTTATATAGTTGGTTATGTAAAAGCTACTCTATTCATTAATTCAGTGTCAATACTCTCCCTCATAGCAGCTATAATTTTTAGCCAACTTGGGAAATAGTGACCTAAAATGGACCCTTTTGGACATCCAAACTTTTAAATTTCCAGGGGAAGGTTCCCCAGGCTTTGCCATCCAAGTGGGAATAAATGGCTGCCACACTGTCATTTTGGTCCCTCCCAGCTGCTCAAACATTGTCCCTCCTTTCCACAATCTTACCAAAGCCACTATATGTGTAGTAATAAAAACATTGAAGTAAAGTGTGCTATCTAAGCAACAGATGATAATCATGCACACTTTTAAGTGAGTCATCCTAGCAGATGTTTGGTGAGGTATTGCATTTTGTGCTCAAAATCTATTTCACATAGACCTGGGAAAAAAGAATGGGGTGTAGCAGTCATTCAGGTCAGTTAATTGCTCCAAGCTCTAATTCGATACCACTGTTCATTTGGTAATCTTTCTTGCCAATACTCTCTTGTTAGTTGGGTTTTCTTGAAAACTCTTCCCATTGAGAAGAAGCATAATATGTGTTTACAAATTAAAAGCAAAGAAAAAAAAATAGGAGAGTAACAGGATGGTATCAAAGACAGTGTTACAGTTTTTTTTTTGCAGGGGGGTAATTTTTTATCTTTGAATCAGATTTTTAGCCTAAGTATGTTTAAGTTTCTACACTTGTTGTTTATTCTTGTGATTTCTTGCTTTAAGAAGTGAGGTAAAATTGTTTGAATTTGTTTTTTCATTACAGTCACTTGAGTCTGTAAATGGAAAGAAAACACTGAAAAATGACGGTAAGGAACACATTGCTTGCACTATAAAGAATTGATAGTAATTTGCAACTCTCCATATTTGTTATTCATAATTGACATGCTTTGCACAGGTGTTGTGTGATTACTGGAGAAGTTAACTGTATTTCAAAAATAAAATCACTTTAAATTGCAGTGAAAGCTATTACTTCTACAGTTATAAAAGTATCAATGGCAACCCCTCTGAGAACCTTCCCCAGTGTCTGTGATATAGAAGTGTCCACTAAATATAGGTCAATTTATTAGGAAATGTGGGAAGAATAGTATGCAACTGAAAATACAAGTAAGTACCGGAAAACAATATTTAATCCTTGCGAGTAATCTCAGAACAGCTGTGTGGGGCTGGAAATTAATAGTGCTGGAATACAACAGTAAATCCTGCTGAGAAACTGAGAACAGCTGTGTGGGGCTGGAAATTAAAAGTGCTGGAATACAACAGTAAATCCTGCTGAGAAACTGAGAACAGCTGTGTGGGGCTGGAAATTAACAGTGCTGGAATACAACAGTTAACTCCTGCTAAGAAACTGAGAACAGCTAAGAGGGGCTGGAAAATAACAGTGCTGGAATACAACAGTTATCTGCTGCTGAAATTCAGAAACAAGAACCTTTTATAAATACTTTCGTAAAACAATACACTGGGCATGCTGTAATATCTTCCATTGCCTCAATTCTAGTTACTTGTAGAAAGGTCATCTCTGAACCATTAAATAGGATCTGTTTTGCCAGTTATGGAAAGAAAAACTCTTAACCCTTTAACCCCTAAGAGTGACCAGCTTCTAATATCTCTTACAATATCACCCCTGAATCAAACATTTAGGTCATGAGAATCAAGGAAATGACCAACAGCTTATGAAGCTCTTGATTTTTAAACAAATTATTTTTGTCAGGGCTTCAGGAAATGTATAGAGAACAGTAAGGAGAATATGCATACTGATGTTAGAGTGTAAAGGGATTAATAAATAAATGTATGTTAAATGTAGCAATCCTATATAGCTATTACTTATTCACAAATACTATATTTTATTTGGCAGATTGTAGTTGCAATGGATGCCAGAAATATTTTTCTGAAAAACTGGTGTAGTGTTGTCATTCAGACATAGAGAGACTATTCCTTCTTCACTGCCAAAGGCTAACTGAACTTTATTGATTAACACGTTACACATATACAAGTATAAGAGTTTACTGACTTGAATTGCAAGTAGTACATTTACTGAATTAAGTACAAAGTGCTCACCTTAGAACCCATATTAAGGTGGTTGTCAATAATTAAGATAGGTACATGTATAATCAATACACTACAACTGGCAGATACAGTTTCTATTGTACTCCAGTATATACATCTTTCCCAAAAGATTGTATTTCTTTAGAGAAGAATGAAAACTTAAAAGCATTCTTTAATCAGTATAAAAGACGGTTTTTTGAACGACGTAGTCTGAAAAGACCAGTCTACACACTAAAACTTAACCAAGAAGGTAAGATTGTCCGTGACAAAAATGGCATCCTTGTTGTTTTGGTCAACAGTTATGTTCAAGGAGAACTTAAGACTACAAAGCAACTTCTCCACAGAGAGGCTGTAGATGGTGTATTAAGCAGTTTAGACTACATTAAAGGTGTCCTTGGAGAGGATACTTGCCTCCGGGTGAATGCCTTGAGTAGGCTATTCAATCAAAAATATGCATTTAAGGGTATTTCAACCTTATTAGGGCCTTCTTGGCTTGATGCTCAACGTGTCAGATTAACAACCCCTTTCCAACGTGAGTGCTTCCCCCTCTTGTCCCCATTAGATCTTTTCGCCCCTATTCCAGACTACAGTGTGACCTTATTGATATCGCCCCAAAGAAGCACTGTAGTTTTATGCAGAATAATCGTTGGAGCTACCGTTACATTCTAACAGTCAAGTGCTGTTTCTCGAAGTTTTTGTTGGCTGTTCCCGTTAAAAGCAAAGCGTGCAGAAGAAGTGTATGCCATTCTGAAGGCCTTGTTCATCAAGAAAGGGTCACCCACGGTAATTCTGTCAGATAATGGCGGTGAATTCATTGGAGAGGAAGTGCCAAAGCTTTGCAGAGAATTTGAAGTTTGCATGGTTCATGGTAGGCCACACCACCCACAGTCTCAAGGCCAGATAGAAAATCTCAACAAGCAGGTCAAAAGGTTACTTGCAAGGTTTTTACAACAGTTGCCTAGAGATCTTCAGGCCAATGTCTGGCCTTTAAAGACCTTTTGAATTGCAAGTGACACAGCACAATTAATGATATGCCTTTTCGAATATATAAGAACCGTGAACCTTCATGCTTGGTGGACTACATCATCCCGGGTGATAGTATGTGGACAGAAAGTATTAACCATGGTTGCCTTGAGGATTATGAATTTTCATCACAAGATTTCATCGAACTTGAGAGACATGGGGAAAGCACTTCCGTGGATAAATCTAAATTAGAAGAGATAACAGAGGCCATCCTGCAAATTTCTTCTGAGACCATATTATTGTTCTCATTGGGTGTTTCAGCTAAGCAGCTGTCAGCAGCTGTTAAGAAGATAGTCCAAGGAAATTCACATTCTCCACCTTCTCCCAGTCACAACAATATCCTACTTCGATCAGTGGATTCAGAGGCAGAATTCCAGACAGAGAGCATCACGAAATACCTCTTCAACTTGAGTGAAGAATACAAATCTAAGATGGTGGATGTCCTTGAAGCAACAGAACACACCATTCAAAAGAATCACAAACGGGCTCTTAAGAGGGCTAAAGAGCGAGACTTTAAGGTGAGAGACAAAGTTCTCTTCCAAAATCCATGTTCAGAAGGGTTGCATTTTTCAAAGCCAAAAGTGTTCCAGGAAAGGACCTACTACCGGTATGTTCAATTTGTTACTGGGATACCTGTGGTAGCCCAGTCATAAAATGCCTTTGTTTTTTTGTCCTTTTTTTCCTCCGCCACAAAGTGGAAAAATTGCGCAATAGTAACTAGCGTTCATTGGGCCCTCAACACCATGACAACTAACTGTGATTCAATGAGGTGTTCACATGCTGATCACGCGTGTTATCTTGATGATGATTGACGTTGTCATGCACAGACAGGGCCGGGTCACATGACGAATCACGAGATTTTTGCTTATAAAGTTCTTTTATCAGTCGTTTTGTATTTCAATGTATTTAGATTGCGATCTCCTGGAGCATTATGGCGCAAACGCTCAAAATACTTACAGACGCATATACAAGTCGTATTATTCGCGGCTAATCCACACTAAAAGACGTTCACTTGTTGTAAAAAGCAAAATCTGAAACCAAACTGCATATACTTTGTGCAATCTATTGAACAACACTTCTACCGTGAGAGTGAAGAACATAACTATAATGGATGCAAACTGCTTGTGAAGAAAGACGCCATGTTGGATTCACTAGATGGCAAGGAACGTAGCTACGATAACAGTACGAATGGTATTAATTTCACGATCAGAAAGGTGAATCTTATGTTTGTTTTCATTGTAGTTGTATGGATATTCTTTTTTAATAAATACGTGATCCAAAACCCTGTGTTTTTTGTGTATAATGTTATTATGTTAAGTATTGTTACGCAATTGTCCTGTCACAGACAGCCCAAGCTCACTTCTCGAGAAAAAGCCAACGATTAATTCATGAACGCGTCACGCGTTGTGTGACTCGGTGTTAAGTTACGAGAGGAACCGTTGGAAATTTGAACACGTTATAAGGAATAGTATAGGGAACGAAGTATGGTCGATTTACAACTATAAATATTTCGAAATATGAACATTTTTCTCGTAAAATCAATAAAACTTACTCATACCCAGTGTATCCGTTGTATTTTCTGGCGATTTCTGCCGTTTTAAGCTTGCTTTACTATCACTGTTATTCACGTCATCTACTTTTATTACGTTGGCAAAATCTGTACAGACATCACACCAACTAACTCGCCCGCAAAGTAAGAAGACTTTATTGAAGGCTTGAAATAATATTGCGATCGATTTTCATCAAGAAATGGGCCAGGAATATTCCACAATAGTGCAAATAATCGTGAAGGCTGATCGCAGAAAAGCGATTGCGTGACACTCGGTAAGCTGTAAGATGACATATTATTATATGCCAGACGTAAAAACTCTTCAGATTCTTAGTCTGCATTTTGAACCCTCTCTGCAGTTGGCAGTCTATATTTTGTATCCGGTCTGCAGTCTGTTGTCTACATTTTGTACTAACACGTATATATCCGTGGCACCAATACAGTGACAGTTACATTTATTCGCACAACACACATAATCTACCACAAAATACCTTTGAGTGAGTTAATTCGACATTTTCGTTCTTTCCCGCATTAATATTCTTCTCTCCTTTTGTAAGAAGGTAGACATCACTTACAATGTTTCAAGTAATCCACCGACCCTACAAAAAAATAACTCTTGCATGCACAGCATGCCTATGTTTTGAAATAGGTGTATGCCCTTGGCCAAACTTGAGCGCACTATTTCAGTATTCTAGTCCGACACCCGTAGTATCACTACACTTGATTACAAGGATCCAGTACCATCCAGGTATCCCAGTTACCCTGCTCACAGGGTCTAGTTTGACCTAGATTTGGCAGCGGACATCATTTGGTTAAAACAGGTTTGTGAAGTTGGCTGTGGATTTTCTGTACCTTTAGAACCTATGCAGGGTCTTGATGGCGATTACAGTATTTTAGCAATGGAGGAGGCAGCAATTAGGAAGAACTGTACATTTCAAAGACTAGATTTACTCTTGAAGGCACTTGTGGATGGTGCTGCAATTAATTCCCTTGACCCCAGCAGTCTCCAGAAATTTTATTCCCTTCTGGGATTGTTCCAGGCAGATGAGAGACCATTACTCATTGCGAGGACAAAGGAATATCACTTTGTTTCTCTGCTCTTGAAAGCA